GCCTCGGCCCTTCCGCTGGCTCGTCGTCCCCGCCCCCTCCGGTGTTACCCGCCGGAGGGCAGGGCTGCCCTGGCCCCTTCCGGGGTCGGCTGGCCTTGCCCTCCTTGCGCCGGCCTGGGTGGGAGGTATCGGATCTCTGGGTACGTCCGAACGGTGCCCTGAGCCTGAGGTTGCTGATTTATGCGGCTGATTGGCCGAGGAGCCCAGTCCTAAGTCTCGCTCACAATGTCCTGCCTTCAATGCGGCACGGGCTTCCCTGTCCCCAGGCCCAGAGGTCAGCCCTAGAGAACACCCTGCCGCCTAGGTTCTCTCCCTGGCTGTCAGCCAGTGTCTCCACTGCTGGCCACAGCACAGAGGCTCCGATGGCTCCCTGCCTGTTTCCTTTTTATCCTGAGAGCGTCGTTAGAAGGCTGCTGGAAATGACACAAAACAGCAGTGTACCCAGCCAGTCTTCTTGTGAGGAGCCTCTCCTGAAGGAATCTCCTTGCCAGGCAGAGGTGGCCGTTGTCACTGAATGCTGCTCGACCCCACTCATACATAGAAGAACAAGAAGGAATCAAGTCTGTCTTCTCCATTGTCCTCCTCCTTCAAAGGACACAACACTTACCTGGCTCCCATAGTTCTCCTCCACGTCACCCCTTGGCCCCGCGGCCAGGGAGCTACTTTCAATGTCCCAACTTCTCTGCATTGCCATTGCCAAAGCCATCTGCTACCCATCCCTAGCACAGGCTTGCTAAAAACCTGCAAGATGTGACCTGTGCAGGGCAGCGGACCCTGCCAGTAAATCCCCCAGGGACTATGCCCAGCTATCTTTTGAGTACCTTTGACACATGTCATTTTACATACATTTCCATTTCCCAAGTAGGACATTTCCTACTAGTCCACTACCTAACTACTCCCTGCCCACCGGTCAGCATACCTAAATTTCTCTTATCTTCCAAAGGACCAGAGGCAAACTAATAAACATTTGGGTTGCTTCCTGGATGACCTGAAGGATAGCTTTTACTGATTCTTGGCTGTATCTGCACATATATTGGGTGAACAGAAAACCTAACTCCGCTGCTTTATAACAGGAACATCAACACTAACATGCCTTTAAGATGCTTAAAGAGACTTGTCAGTGAAAAACAGTACCAGATATCAGCATGTACCTGTCTTAGCACTGATAGGCTGTCTACATATCTGCTTCCACGATGAGTATGTGAGCCATGCCAGGGCAGGGAGCAGGTCTGAGAAGCCACTGTGTTCCCAGCATCTCACACAGTACCAAGCATAGAAGATGTGTATATTTAATACATGTAGCATAAATGAAAGAACAGGAGGAAAAGAACTAGAGAAGCCTGCGTTGTGTACGTTATAAACCTAACTGACATTCCAATGCACCATTTGGGCCACTTGCTCCCACAAAGAGACACAAGGCATGGAAAGACTAGAACTTTTTCAGTCAAGACTGGCCTGTAGGAGCCGGGGAGATAGCTCAATGGAATAAGCACTTGGCCTGGCAATCGCAAGGACCTGAGTTCAATCCCCAGTTCCGCAAAAAAAAAAAAAAAAAAAAAAAA